TTAGCTCAGCGGCAAAAGCGCCTGCCTGGCAAGCGCAAGGTCGTGAGTTCAGTTCCTGGTACCAGAGAAAAACCAAAAAAAAAAAAAAAAAAAATAGAAAACAGGTCAATGATGGCTAAAGATTAAGGATGGAGAGGGAAAGGGCTTTTATAAAAAGGTCTTTACAAGGAAAGTGTTTGGAATGGTAGAACCATGCATTTTTAAAAACACAGAATTTTTTATTTAAAAATATACATGTGTTATACCATAATAAATCAGCTTTAAGAATTATATGTTATTATATATAATACTTAAGTCTGTCTCTCTGCCACTCTCTGTTGTTTTTTTCCTATGTGCCCCCCACATCTTAATAATTAAGAAGTATAGGTTTAGCCACTGCAAAGCTGGTTTGATGGTTCTAGGGTCATTAAGTACCTTCTATTTTGTTACTCTGCCAGGATGCTACTTGTACCCAGATATCATTTCCAGATTACTGGCAGATGAAGGAGTAAATAAGAAGTCCCACACTTCTTTGAAGTCCTACACTGTCCTTTCATTTTTGCCTCATTGGTCAAATGAAATGAATAGAGATTGCATTAAATTTAAAGATCAGTTTGAGAGGATTTGAAATCTTAGTAATATTGACCCTTCAAATTTATCTGTACATTATATCTTATTTATGCAGCTCTTTCATTTCTCTTAGAAATGTTTTATGGTTTTCAAAGTACAGATAGTGTACAGTGACCATATCTTGTTAGATTTCATACTTATTCATACTGTTATGAATGCTGTTATTTTCATTATTCCAATATCCTGTTGTTTGTTGTTAGTCACTAGAAATATAATAATACATAATTTCTGACCTTGCTAAACTCACTTACACTAATTCTAGGATCATTTTTGTCTCTTTTTGGGCTTTTCTATGTAGAGGATTATGTGGTCTCTTAATAGTGTTATTTTTTCTTTCTAATTTGTATATAGAAATGATGAGAGCTGCTATCACTGTTTTGCTTTCAAGCAAAGGAAAAAACATTTAGCTTTCCTTCACTAAGCATTTCCTGTTGCTTTTTCATAGATATCCTTTATATTAGGTTCAGAAAGTTTCATTCTATTCCTAGGTGATTTTTCCCATATTTTATTGAGACAAAAATCATATATTTAAGGTATACAGCCATGCTTTTAGATATGATATACCTAGTGAAATGATTTCTACAACCAAGCTAATTTATATATCCCTCATTTCACATACTTAGAGCAATATTTTGAGATAGAGTTTCATGATACGTAATTCAGGCTGGTCTTCATGTAATGGCAATCCTCTTCTCTCAGCCTGAGTGCTGGGCATACAGGCATGTGCCTCCAAATCTTGCTTAAAGCTATAGCAATTTTAATTTCCTCCATTTAGAAATATTTTAAAATAGCACAAGCCAAAAAAAAAAAAAAAAGCTCGGCACCTCACTCCCAGAGACACATTAAAGCTGTAAGTGGACACCATTCTCAATCATTTATTAGTGTCTCTATACATTAATGTATTTTTGAAAATAAAAAAAATTGCTAATGCCATATATGCTATTTTAGAACCTGTTGTTCCACTGTACTGTAGCAGGCACTTTTTTCACTCTAGTAAATTTGTGTCAGTATCATGATCTCTTAATGATATAATTAATCCCTTTTTTCCTTATCTGTGACTGTTTCCTTTGCTGTGCAGAAGCTTTTTAATTTCATGTAATCCCATTTATTGCTTTTGATAATATTTTCTGTGCTACTGGAGTTCTGTTTAAGAAGTACTTGCCTGTGCCTTTGAAGTCAAGTGTTTTGCCTATGCAGTCTTCCAGCAGTTTCAAGGTTTCTGTTTCTACATCTAGGTCCTCAATCCATTTTGATTTCCACATAGTACAGGGTGAGAAATAGGGGTCTGGTTTCAGTCTTCAACACATACATAACCAATTTTCCCAGCACCATTTGTTAACAAGGCTATCTTTTTTTCCCAAAGTATATTTCTGGTCCCTTTGTCAAAAATTAGATGGCTGAAGGTGCATGGAGTCATTGCTGTTTCTTCTGTTCTATTCATTGGAGTAAATGTCTGTTTTATGTGCCAGTACCATCCTGTATAGGTATGTTAGGTAATATGGCCACTTACCATTATTAATTCTGTGGATTCACGAACATGTGAGACCTTTCCTCCTTCTAGTTTCTTCTTCAACTTCTTCATTATTCTAAAATTTTCATTGTAGAGATCTTTGAACACCTTGGTTAGGTTGATTCCTTTCTTCTTTTTAAGAAATAAAAGAAGGAAAACATGTTAATAAACAGACATCCATTTACAAAATAGCATAAGAACAATATGAACAAAACAGAGCTACAGACAAAGTAGTAGGAAATTAACCATGGTTATTGTATTACTTACTGATCTCTTCAAAGTGGTTTCTCAAGAAAACAAATAGAGACATACAAGATTGATCAAACAAGTAATCATTAACTGTTCCTTTCTGTAGAACAATAGAAGACAGTAGTACAACTATGTTAGCTATCCTGTATATACATATTTACATAATTTCCCCTTCTTTCATTTTTCTTTTCCCTCACGCCAGTTCCCCTTTGCTTTTGAGCAGTTTCCTTTCATTTCACAATGTCTATCATACCTCCTAGTTTTTATTCACTCCTTTAGGTCTTACAGTAGTGAGACAATATGACACTTACACATGCAGGTCTGATTTATTTCATTTATGAGTATGGTCTCTAGTTGTGACCATTTACCTATAAAAGCCTCGAGTTTATCTTTATAGCTGAGTGATATTCCATTATATAAAAGTACCACAATTTTTTTTATCCAATCCTCAGTGGATGGACATTTGGGTTGCTTCCACAGTTCAGCAATTACAAATTACACTGCTATGAACGTGAGTGTGCATATATCACTGTGATATGATGCTTTCAGATCTTCTGAGAAAATACCCAGAAGGGGAATAGCTGAGTTGAATGGGACCTCTAGACTTAATTTGCTGAGGAGTCTCCAAACTGATTTCCACAGTGGTTTTACCAGTCTGCATTCCCACCCCAGTGGAGAAGAGTTCCTATTTCTCCACAGCCTCGCGAGCATTTGTTACTGGTTGATTTCTTAATGATAGCCATTCTTACTGGGGTGAGGTGAAATCTCAATGTTGTTTTAATTTGCATTTCTCAAATGACTAATGATATTGAACACTTTCTCATATGCCTCATTTACCTGTATGTCAGGTTCTGTTTCCATGCTTGGGAAATTTTCTGCTATTATTTCTGTAAATATTCTTTTTATGTTGTTTGTGTTGCCTTCTGCTGTTTCATTGACTCCTATCAGTCGTACATTATTCCTCTTCGCCTCATCTTGCAACTGTTGAATAGGTTGATTCCTGGTTTTTTTTTTTAAGCTATTGTGAGAGGAATTGTTTTCCTGATTTTTTTCTCAGCCTGTTCATTATTGGTGTATATAAAAACTAATAATTTTTATCCTGAGATGTTTTTAGTTTTTGTTTTGTTTTTTAAATAATTAATGGATATTGGCATTTTCAAATATTACTTTCATAAATTGAAATTATACTTTCTTTTCATTTTAGTCTATTGATAATGATGCATTTGTTTTTGGAAGACTACAAATCATTTACCCAAGATTCAAATTTACAAAAATAGGAAGGGAAGGAGGAGGAGAAAGGGATGAAGAAACAAAGAAAACAAAGTTAATATAGTTAATTCTGTATTTTTCTTTTATGCTCTGCTTTGGCTAACTGCCATGACATTACATTGTATTTTATTGTTTTTTTTTTTTTTTTTTTTTTTTTTTTAGTTAAAAAATCCAAGTTTAGTTTTGAACAAATACTCTTCTAAAGTAGAAGCAGTAAAATTTTAATAAAGGTGCTGTTTATTTGGCTAATACTTTGAGGAAATGTATACAAACAAGTGTTGGATAGATTAAAGAGGTAAATGTGAATAAAACATGTTAATATTGATAATATCTTAGAGAGTAGTGGACATCCTTGGCTTGTTTCTGATTTTAGAGTGAAAGTTTTCAGTTTTTGTCCATTTAGTACAATGCTGGTTTGTCATAGATGGCTTTTATCAGATTGAGATAAAGACCATCTATTCCAATTTTCTGTAGGGTTTTATTATGAGTCAGTGTTGAACTTTGTCAAATGCTTTTTCTGCATCTATTGAGATGATCATGTGATTTTTGTTTTTGGCTCTGTTGATGGTATATTACATTTATTGATTTGTATACGTTCAATCATCCCTACATCCCTGGGTAAATCTTACTTGGTCATGGTGTATAACTTTGATGCTTTGCTGCATTCTGTTTGCCATATCTTATTGAGGATTTTTGCATCTGTGTCCATTAAGGACATTGGCTCATAGTTCTCTTTTTTGGTTGGGTCCTCAGGCTTTGGTTTCAGGTTACTACTTGGTTCCAGGAATGACTTTGGGAATATTGTTTCCCTTTTGATTTCATTAAAGAATTTCAGCATTAGTGGCATTAATTCTCTAAATTTCTTGTATAATTCAGTGTGAATTTATCAGGACCTGGGCTTTTCCTTGTTGGTAGGTTTTTAATTACATTTTCAATTTTATTGACTGATACCAAGTTATTTAAAATTTTTATATCTCTTAGAAATTCATATGTATATAGGAATCTGTGAATTTCTTCTGTGTTTTATTAGAGTATAAGTTCTCAAAGTAGGTATTGATGATCTTATGGATTTCCACAGGATCCATTGTTATTTCACCCTTTTCATTCCTAATTGCATGAATTTGAGTCTTTTCTTTCCTCTTAAGATTGGCTAAGAGTTTATCAATTTTATTTAGTCTTTCAAAGAACCAACTCTCTCATTCATTGATTCTTTGTATTGTTTTCTTAGTCTTGATTCCATTAATTTCTGCTCTTTATAATTTCCTGTGTCATTCAAGCTTTGGGTTTGATTTGTTCTTCTTTTTCTAGAAGTTTGAGATTGAACATTAGGTTGTTTATTTGAGCTCATTCTGTTTTCCTGATGTGAGAATTCACTACTATAAATTTCCATTAGGACTGCTTTCAGTGTGTTCATAAATTTCAGTATGTTTTATCAGCATTATCATTTAATCGTAGATACTGTTTAATTTCTTCTTTACTTTCATCTGTGACCCTTTGGTTGTTCAGGAGGGAGTTACTGTAATTTCCAGGTGTTTATGTATTTTTTGAGGGGTCTTTTGCCATTGATTTTCAATTTCATTGTTAGATAATTTGCACTGAAAAATGTCAATTCCTTTGCATTTTCTTAAGCATGTTCTAAGTGTTAGAATGTGGTATGTTTTGGAGAACATTCCATATGGAGCTGAAAAGAATGTATGTTGTAGGGTGGAACACACTGTAGACATCTTCTAAGTCCATTTTTTCACAGGTTTGGTTTAGTTCTGGTATTTCTTTGTTGATTTTTTTTTTGTCTAGTTGATCTGTCTACTTGTGACAGTGGGGTATTGGGTTCCTCTTTACAATTGTGTTAGTGCTTGTTTGATTTTTTTCATGTTCATTAATACATGTTTAATGTGGTTGGGTACACTGGTATTTGGTGCATATATTCTTGTGATTGTTATCTCTTATAGTTTTCTGTTAAACAGTATGTAGTGTCCTTTTCTGTCTCTTATGATCAGTCTTGGAAGTTCACATTGTCTGCAAATAGAATAGCTATCCCTGCTTTTTTCTGGGATCCTGTTGCATGGAGTGTTGTTTTCCATCCTTTGACTTTTAGTCTATGAATTTCTTTTTTAGTTAAATGTGTTTCTTGTATGCAGTGTATTGTTGGCTCTTGCTTCTTGATCCATTCAGCCAGTTTGTTTCCTTTGATTGTTCATATGAAACCATTTAAATTGACAGTTATAACTGATATGTGTTGGCTTATCCTTGCTATATCATATTCCTGTTTTTAGTATCCTGTCTTTTCCTTCCTTTAATTGCTTCCCATGCCTTGGGGCTTCCTTCTCTTGATGTTCTTGGAATTGTGGTCTCCCTTTTCTATTTCTAGAATAACCTTCAGAACATTTTGGAGAGGTGGTTTGGTGGTAATGAATCTCCTTCATTGTCTTTTGTCATGGGAGTATTTTATTTCTCTATTCATTCCAAAAGAGAGTTTTGCAAGGTACATTGATTTAGGTTGGAGGTTGTTTTCTTTTAGGGCATGAAATACTTTACTCCAAACTCTCCTTGACTTGAGGGTGTGTGTTGAGAACTCTGTTGTGATTCTAATGGGTTTTCTTTTATAGGCGGTTTGTTTTTTTTCTCTGACCACTTTTAATATTCTGTGCTTATGCTGAGTTTCTGGAATTTTGATTATTATGTGCCTTGCTGTAGATTTATTTTGATCATGGCTAAGTGGAGTTCTGTATGTGTCACTTATATATGTGTCAAATTCTTTGTTCATGTTTGGGAGGTTTTCTGCCATTACTTTGAATTGGCTTTTTTTTTTTTTTTTATGGCATTTGTACTATCTTTAGCTTTCTCATTGACTCTGATCAATCTTATATTGTCCTTCCTTGTTCGTCTTGCAGCTGTTGAATTGATTTTTCATGGTCCCTTACTATCTTTTCTTTTCTGGTCACTAACTACAATCCTGTCTTCTAAATCTGATATTCTATCTTCTTCATTCAATCTGTTTTATATACTTTCAGTGGAATTTTTAATACCCTGGGTATCTGTTTGGATATGTTTCATGGATTCCACGTATTTCCTATGTTGGGAATTCATGGTTTCCATCATTTTCCTAGGCTCATCTATTTTTTATGTATATCTACTCTACATTTATCATTTCTTTTTTAACTTAAAGAGTATTTTTTTTCTATAGCCACCTCCATTTTTTTTTAATGTGTACTGCTATCATTTGAGAAAGTTCCAGTGTGTGGCTTCCAATTTCTTCTATCTCATTGTGCTCTGGACTTATCCTGGGTAGGCTGCAGGTTAGGGGTTACATTTTTGCTTCCGTGTCTTGTCATTTTCTGTATTTTATTTTGTTTCATTTTCTGTGTTGGCGCTTGTAGATTTCTTATGGTAGATAACTTTATCCTAGTATTGTGGCTTCTGTAAGAAATGTCTATTCCTCAGGGAAATCTCCTAGGAGTAAGTGTTTCTTGGTCTTTGTGTCTATCCCAAGAACTTACCTTCTCAATTCATTAAGGATGGGAGGTTGCTACTATTTGGCTGTGCACTCCATTCTTTTGTACTGGACCATGGTGATGGTTATGACCCCAGGCAATCACACTTGTTGTC